CGAGGGCGGCAGTTTCCGCGGCCTAAAGGCTCTGGGGGTGTTGGGCCGGGAGAAGGGACCCTCACTGGTGTCTTTGGAATTGCTGCTGGTGAATGGCCTCTGAGGGGCATGGTCTGATTCAGAACGGTGCCTTCAGCAGGGTGGTAGGGAAACGGTGTGCCAGTGAGGTGTGCCGCGGGAGACAGCAACTGCGGTACAGGGGTGTTTGTGTCTGGTGTCTGTGTGATATTCGCTTTTCTTTGGGATAAATAGGACACGGTTCTCTCCAGTGCTAGATGACGCATGCTCTTGCTGGGGATTTGGTCTCTGGTTTGGTCACGGGGCGTTCTGGTAAAGCTGTTCAGTTTTAAGAAGTTAATGATAATGTTGCCTGTATTGGACAGAGTATAAAAGGCACGCTGGGAGAAACTGAGTTTATAGAAGGCAGTATTTATCATTTTCCAAGTAAAATACAGAAGCCAGTCGTGAAGGACTGATTAGGGTGAGATATTGATGGGAAAGAGGATGGGTTATCCAGAGTGTATAAAAACGTTTTTTGTTCTTATTTTTCATACTTGGAGTGAATTCTCTGTATTAACAGGATAGTGGAAATCAATATCCATAGCAGGCAAATATGAGGAAAATAAATGGGTTGTCATTTGTAGTAGTTTCTGAAGGCATTCTTATTCAACCGCTTTTGCTTTGAAGGTTTTCTGAGCAGCATGAGTTCAAAAAGCCAAATGATGATCGTGCTCTGCATCTAATGACCAAGTGTGCCCAGACAGTGATGGAAGAACTGGAGGATATTGCTATTGCTTATGGACAGAGTGATGAATACAGTTTTATTTTCAAAAAGAAGAGTAGATGGTTTAAAAGAAGAGCAAGGTAACAGCTGCTTTGACACTGCTTCTCTAAACCTGTAATTCCTTAGATTTGCCTTTATCTACACACACAGATTAAGAGCTGGGTTGTGTTTGGGTGCATACACTACATCTAGTTCAGGTCCTTCATGTGGAGGCTTTGCGTGTGATCTTTCAGGAAAATAGGTTCAGTGGCAGAGATTTAAAAACAAAATTGATAAAACAAACATTGGAAACAAATATTGTTAGAATAAACATTCTTTTAACAAAATATTACCTTTTCCAAACATTTTCCCTTGATCCTCAGTACTTCCTGTTCTTCAAAAGACTGTTGTTGCTGATCTGTTGGGCCATTACTTAAGAAATGCTGCTGTCCACCAGAATGATTGGTACTTATGTCTCAGATAATCACAGCTACAAATCACATTGATGTATTTCTTTCTTTTTCCTTTTGCTTTGTGTTTGCAAGTAAGTTCATGACTCATGTGGTCTCCCAGTTTGCCTCAAGTTACGTTTTCTACTGGAAGGATTACTTCAAGGACCAGCAACTTCTGTACCCACCGGGATTTGATGCCCGAATTGTGTTGTATCCCAGCAACCAGAATTTAAAGGACTACCTCAGCTGGAGACAAGCAGATTGTAAGTGTTTCTAGAAACCAGATTTGTGCAGTTGAGTTCTCTTCCTCTCTGAACAGAAATGCCTTTATTCCCAATGTGTTTGTATAGGTATCAGTGAAGGAACAGCAGGTAGGGTGGAAGTTTTAAATCAACAATATTAAAATTGTTTTGGCCTTTGTATGGATACAGAAATACTGGCTGGAATTTTGAGCCTTCAGGCTACAACTGTATTTGTTGCATCCTGGGAGTGAGTTCAGCACAGGAAATATTAATAGAATTAATTTATTTTTTATGTTCCAAGTTTGCTTAGCCAAGGGAATCTTCTTTAATGAAGAGATGTGGACGTTCAGATTCACACCATGTAGCAATCAGTGCTGTATATTCCATGCTAGAACACACTGTTGGATTTACTTCTTAAGCTTTTGTTAGCACCTGGTCCCTGTTGCTCAGATGAAGATAATTTACATTACACAGAAACACCCTTCACCCCCTGCTCTCCACTTTCAGAATTACAATGAAATGTCTTCTAGTCATACTATGATATGCAGCACCTTGAAAATTAATCAGAAAGATTCCATCTTCTGTAGTAACTGATACGAGTAATACTCTTTTATTCTTGGCTCTTTCTTGGGTACAACTCTGGAACTAAAGCTGTTTTTTATGAGTAGTCACTGACTACTTTCAGTCACATACTCCTTCTCTCTTCTGTTTCTGTAGGCCATATTAATAACCTTTACAATACAGTGTTTTGGATGCTCGTACAGCGAAGTGGTTTGACACCAGTGCAAGCACAGGATAGACTGCAGGTAAGAGTCTCTTTAGATCATGTTTTTTTCCAGCTACAGAGAAAATCATAAGGTTTGTAGAGCTGGACTTGCCTGCCCAGCAGCCATGGCTGGATTGTCTGTTCTTACTGTCATAATTTTGTGGGTGTGGATTCAACAACTTCTTCAATTGAACAGATGTTAATATGATTAGAAAACACTGTATTTTTGGTCAAATATTGGTGGGATTTTAATTTCTTCATTAGCAAGTTCAGAAGCCTTGGGAATGTCACATAAACATCCAGTACACATATCCATGGAGTATTATGGCAGGATTCAATTACTGCTGATTCCCAGTCCCTTCTGTAGGATTTTGTCTCAATGTGCACACTTCAGCAGATCATTCTCTCCTGGAGTCTGTTGACTTTTATCTGTTTGTCTTGAAAATGTTAAAAAAAAACCAAAACAACAAAACTTTCTCTGTTTTAATATCCTCATTTGGCAGTTGGAAATAATTCCTCTGTTGGAAGAGATAATTAAACCTTGTGACTTAAAGGTGAAAACCTGTCTAAATGTCAGTCTTGCATCCAATGTTCACCCATTTTCTACCCTAGAGATTCAGTTTGCTTGTTTGTTTTCTGTAAGAGTATATTTTCTATTTTCATTTCTTCTCAGGGGACTTTGGCTGGAGATAAGAATGAAATACTATTTTCTGAATTCAACATCAACTACAACAATGAACCTTTGATGTATAGAAAAGGAACTGTCTTAGTATGGCAAAAGGTAAAAAGCTGTGCTGCCACTTGCTTCATGCTCATGGTTTTAGTAGATGCACTATGGCAGACAAGCTGCACTGTAAGATCACCAGATGTATCCCAAATACATGTTTATGTATTAACTAACCATGTTTACCTTATAAGACATGGGAGATGTCTCATTATTTTGGAGATGTTTTTGAAAGATCTTTATCTATGAGCATAGTATAAAAACTAGTTTTTGAAGTCTGGCTTAGATGCAAATTATGACTATTGAGATAATACATCTATCAAAAATGACGGGGGTTGAACTAGATGAGCTGCAGAGGTCCCTTACAACACTAATGATTCTGTGAATTACACAAGAGTGATGTATTTGCTCTATAAATCTCCCTTGTTTAATGAATTGTACACTTGGTTTCTTAGTGTTACCAGCTTTGAAAATGCAGAAAGCATTCTGCTTCCTGAAAAACTACGTTTTAATGACTCCTGTCAGTTTGGTATGATAATCCTCAGAACCTGTGCCAGGCGCTTCACAGGACTAGATCCAAAGTATTTCCACTGCAAAGGAATGATGACCTTTTGGCCTAGTATTTCTGTTACTTCATTTGAACTAATTAGAATGGAGAGAGGCTTCCACCTGGAAATACATTCCGCTTGTTCCTTATGCATATTTTTTCTTGGTAATGACATTTGCATGGTTTCCCATTTGCTTTAGGTAGCTTCAAATGAAATACTGTACTTTATTCAGGAACACTTGCAATCAGGTGACTTTGCAGGTCATTTCTTCAAGCCATGGGATGATGACATGCAGTTTCAACTGCTCAGGGTTAGTGTTTGAATTGAGGAGAGGCTCTCTTTCAAAAGATGCTCTGTAGTGTGCTGTAGGGTTGATAGTTACTTTTGTTGTAGCTTTGTTTCTTGTCCATTTGTGAATCCCCTCTGGAGTCTTACCTGTCTGCTAATGTGTCAACTGTTTTTTCAGGTTAATGAAGTCATGACTAAGAAAATCAAACTGCCAAAGGAAGCAGAAGAAAAGGAAGTTGAAGTGACCCGGACTAGGACTAAAGTTGTTCCCCTGCACTGTGACATTATCGGGGACCAGTTCTGGGAGGAATATCCTGAGATTCTGGCTGAGGATAGTTGATATCTCTGATGAGTACAACTGGTCATTTACACTTTCCTCCGCTTGGGTTGTTGGCAAGTGAGGAGTACGAATGATGGCTGGCAGTTTAACCTGTAACCCTCTTCAACAACTATGCTTGGTTTAGCACTGTTGTTGCCTGAAAAGAAGACACTCGTATGTTGTCTGACATACAAGGATATGCCCGTATGGAAAACTAAAATCATAGGATATTTTGAATGTTAAGAAATCATAAATGAAGACTGCTCCTTCCTTGAACATACATATTTATAGGAAAAGTTAACAGAAATTCCTTGCATCTCTATAGCATTTAAACCATGAAGTATTTTACTGAACTGCCAAACTATGAAAAGGTTTGTGTATTTGAACAGTTCAAAGCAGAGAAGAAAATAATATGTTTGAGTTATCTTTTGTTTAACTGCGATGGGCCAGAATAGGATCATAGAACAGTTTGGGTTGGAAGGGACCTTAAAGATCATTGTCCTGGTTTCGGCAGTAGCAGTCATTTTTCTCCTTTGTAGTAGTTGGTGCACTGCTGTGTTTTTGACTTTAGCCTGAGAGCAGTGCTGGTAACACCAATGTCTTTAGTTGTTGCTAAGTAATGCTTACTCTGATCAAAGGCTTTCTCAGTGTCATGCTCTGCCAGGGAGGAGGGGCACAAGAAGCCAGGAGGAAGCAGAGACAGGACACCTAACCCAAACTGGCCAAAGGGGTATTCCACACCACAGCACGTCATGCCCAGTATACAAACCGGGGGGAGTTACTGGGAAGGCCAGATCGCTGCTCGGGTTGGGGTGGGTATCCGTTGGTGGGTGGTGAACAATTGTATCCTCTGCCCTTGTTATTTCCCTTATCATTATTATTATTGGTGGTAGCAGTAGTAGGTTTGTGTTATACCTTAGTTACTGAACTGCTCTTATCTCAACCCGTGGGAGTTACATTCCTCCAATTCTCCTCCCCATCCATATGGGAGCAGGGGAGGAAGAAAGAGGGGAATGAGCGAGTGGCTGCATGGTCCTGAGTTACCGGCTGAGCTTAAACCACAACAGTTCCTTTTGCTGGGCCACCTGTAGTCCCAGCTACTCGGGGGGCTGAGCCCGCCCGATCTCTTGAGCCCAGGAGTTCTGGGCTGGGCGTCCGCACTAAGGCCGGCATCAGTATGGGGAGCCCTGGGGAGCCAGGGCACACCACGCTGACTAAGGTTGACTGTCGTGGTTTAAGCTCATCCAGTAACTCAGAACTGTGCAGTTGCTCGCTCACTCCCCCACCCCCTTCCTCTCCCTGCTCCCATAGGGGTGGGGGGGAGAATCAAAAGAATGTAAATCCCACGAATTGAGATAAGAACAGTCCAGTAACTAAGGTACATACAAAACTATTACTGCTAGCACCAATAATAATAATGATAAAGGGAGAGGATACAACCGCTCACCACCTGCCACTTGATATCCAGCCTGACCCGAGCAGCGATCTGGGCCTCCCGGGTAACTCCCCCCAGTTTATATACTGGGCATGACGTGCTGTGGTATGGAATAGCCCTTTGGCCAGTTTGGGTCAGGTGTCCTGTCTCCGCTTCCTCCTGGCTTCCCGTGTCCCTCCTCACTGTCAGAGCATGAGGTTGAGAAAGTCCTTGGTTGGAGTCAACATTACTGGGCAACAACTGAAAACATTGGTGTGTTATTGGCACTGCTCTCAGGCTAAAGTTGAAAACACAGCACTGCACCAGCTACTATGAAGGGGAAAAATGACTGCTACAGCTGAACCCAGGACACTCATCCACTTCCAACCCCCTGTTACAGGCAGCGACACCTTCCAGTGGACCAAGTTGCTCAAAGCCCTATCCAGCCTGGCCATGAACACTGCCGGGGATGGGGCAGAGTACTCCAATTGGCATTGACTGTTGGATGTCAAGGCTGGTGTGTTTACTCAGACCAGTGATAAACTGTTCGACTGCCTCATGTCTGTGATCCTTACAGAAAGGGAGTGGCCCAGCAGTTTTCTATGATTTTAAAAGCTTTTTTCAAATGTACAGGATTTTTATACTTTTAAAAAAATAAAAATAGTAATTTCTTCCCTCTTGTGCTTATTACTTTGCCTTTATTTTCCTGGGAATTTTACTAGTAATTGGTGAAAGTTCCAAACAGGGAAGTTAATAATAAAGATACTGTAGAGACTTGAATTCTGTTAGGACATTGAGGGTGCACACTGTTTACTCCTGTAGCCTGCAGAGTTGATAGGTGTCTCCTGCTGTGCAGTGCGAGTGAAAAGTGGCAACACTGGATTGTTCCCAGTGCCTGCAAAGAAGCTGCTGCTGAGGATTTGTCCTGCTGTCCTCTGGTTTTCCTAGGGATGACACAGACATATAGTGCTCCTGACAGTACATGTTTGTCAGAGGGAAGAGGGAGTGTGTGTGGCCTGGTCTGTGCCCAGTTTTGTTCTTGTTTGATGGTCAGTTAAGCCTTTTGTCAAACAGTTAGATCCAGGCAACCTCTCTGAGCAGAGATGGTTCTGCCAAGGTAACTTGTCCCAGTGTAGCTGGAATTGGAGTGACATAACCTAGTTCAGTATAGAAATACAACTATAATGATAGAAGAGGTGTTCATAAGGACATTACTGCTCAAACAGCAATCTGGCAAGCTGCTGCAGAGGGAGAGACAGTCTGGAGTTGGGACTGGCCATAAAAATGGAAAGAATGGATAAGATGTGATTGAAGGAGGTCAGTACTGAATTAGTTCCCCATGAATTTGCATAGCAGCCTGCTCTCTGTTTCCCCTCTTCTTCCCAGGTGTAAGGAAGAACTTAAACATTTAAGGCAATGTGCAGTTTGGGGTTTGTTTCGGTTTTTAAAATCCGCTACCCAGGTGCTGATGTAAACTACTACTTTGCAGTTTCTTCCTGAGATTTAACAATGAGCCAGTGTGCTCCTGGCAGCACAGGGCTTCCCCTTCACCATTGTGTGGTTTAACACCAAGCAGTGAAGTGCACCCAGTAGGAGAATGGGTATTGAATGACTTTGTAGAATGGGCTGTGTAATTCCCAGGAAGAGGATATGAGGGATTGTGAGAGGATGATTCCAAATGAGTTATTGCACCAGCCATTGACCCCTAAGAACTTCCTATCTGTATGTTGGATTGGGGTTTAGTTTTCTTTGGAATGCTGTGTGTTGGTATCTGTTGCCCAGCTTGGGACATTACACATAAAGCAACTGTTCCAGAGGTGGTACCAGCTGGATTTTGAAGTCTGAGTAAAGATTTTAGATTAAAAAAATTTGGTAACTATGCTTCATGCTTGGAAAGTATTCTGTACTTTTTCATCTTGTATATTATGACTGCCTCATCCTTAAATAGATATACTGTAGAGTGTATTTACATTATACGTGTGTATGTTGTCATCCTTACAATAATATGTGAACGTATCTGTTCACCTATGGATGCAGACTTCAGAACACATGGATTGTCTGTAGAGCCATAGTCTTTGATTTGTATTAATATAAATGCTAGAGAAAGAAAATCCCTGTGGTATCCTCATGCATAAACTTACTTCTGTGACTTTATAGCTGATGAGGGAAATAAATCTTCCCACGGCTCAAGGCAGGCATTAGCAGCACACACAGCTCAACCTGTGTCCTGTGCCTGTAGGGATTTCTGTAGCTGCAGCAGTCCCGTACTGTGACCCAGCGAAGCAGCAGGTGTTTCCTCTGAGGCTGTCCTGCAGCTTCTGGCTGATGTTGCACTGTGCAACAGGAGCCACAAACATGCAGGGCCCAGGTCTGGAGATTAACGGTGGAATCCATCCCAGTAAAACTGCTTTGCGCGTTCCTGGGCTGTATACTGATTAAAATGCAAATTATATTGCGACCACCTTTCCCACAGGTGCTGTTTCATGGCCCGGGGCGGTGCCGTTCGGGGAGGAACCCCTAGAACAGGGGCT